GAACTCTCCCTTTTGACCCCGTCACACAAAGCAGAGACTCGAACTAGCCCGTCTTATGACAGTTCGGGGCCTCCCCTTATCCGAGCTCGAGACTTTGCCACACGCACCGCTCCAGGCACTTCGCTTCCGGAGCATCGAACTGAGCGAACCACGCCGTACCTGACACCGAAGGAGTCCGTATCCAGGGGCGGCGCACCTAACTGACTTAGGATCTGACGCTTGACGGCCGCATTTCCAACGGCCATCTGCCATCGTCACCTGTCACCACTGCCTCCAGTTACAGAGACGGCTCCGACAAAAGGAGCAGTGATGGTTCTGTCCCAGCAGAGGCGATGACGCCCGAACTGGCAGAAGCACGGAAATACTCATTCCCGACCTGACAAGAGTCTAGGAGTAAGTGCGCGAGGTGGTTATAAAAGGCTCTCCACCCCCGAAGAGGAGATATAAAAACTTTGCRCTATCTGGTTTATCTTGCCTTTAAAGGATTCTAACTTAAGCTTTAGAGCCTTTACACCGRGTCCTCCCCGGAGTTTCCTCATTTCCTCCGTTTCAGGTTCTCTGTTACTCGGTTCAGAGGCAAGATCGCTGACAATTAAGACCGACTGGATTGCGCATCATCAAATATTCTTCACACCGATCTCACAACATGTTTTTGTTGCACATGGGAACATGTCTTAAACATTATTATTCTTTGAGAGATGTTCCTAATACACGATGGGATGTGGCTGAGGTCGTTGAAAGAGAGTGATACGTGAGGAGCAGATCCCATTACTCAGACCTTAGCGCTAGACTGGTGGTGGAGAACTGTTGGATTGGTGGTTGGTTGCTGGTTGCAGCGGCCACCCTCTCCAAACAGTAGCATTGCAGCAATGCAGACTGACTGTCAGAGTTGTCTAGGTCCGGCGGGCGGCGGTCAGGCTTCCACGAGCGAGAGAGGTGTGTTAAACTGTTAACTGTTGGGTTTGTAGCTTATAAGCCAAATTAATATTTTAGCCCAAATCCAATGACCCCAATCGATTAGGGTTTGTTGCTTACAAGCCAAATTAATATTTTAGCCATAATAAAAATAAAAAATTACAAAGATACAAAAGAAAGTTAAATATAAATGTAAGGGGTAATGGGGTATAAATGTTATATAAAATTATTTTAAAACATATATAAAAAATTTTAACGGATCTGATCGGGGGTATAATCGAATTCTATCCATTAACTAAATGGATCGCCCTTTTCCGAACCGATCCGATTTGTTAAGACCGAATGGGATATTCAAATCCGTCTCTTACCATCGAATTTTAATTCGGATCGAATGTGATCCGGATTATTTGCAGCCTTAAATATTTAGAGTATGAACATCTCCCATCAACATCAATTACAGCAAAGGAAGTACAAGGGATATTCCGGAAGCACGGCTACAGAATCTTGTAGTCAGCAGATCAGGGCTTTCCGGTATTCCGGATCAATGATTTTTTATTTTTGTGTGGGCCCTATCCACTGGAGCACATCTTCCTACGCACCCATACTGCTGGTATGGACAGTGGAAACATGACGAGGGCTCAAGCTCAAGAAGGCGAGACCGGATCTGCTCCTGATACTTATCAGGGCGCCTCACAACGATCTCACAAGCACATTCYACCGTGCATTGGGAATATTTACGGGAGATGTTCTCAATAGATGTGCCTGTGAGACGCCCTGTGTGAAGAGCAGATCCCAATTCCAAGTAGGAAGAGTTTGGGTTGGGCGTCCGCCTGCGCCCACTACTTCATCACCTCCCAATCCACAGTACACACCACCTCCATGTCCTGATGTCCAGTGTCCACCCAACCTTTTCGTTTTTTCAATTCCCCAACTTGCCAAACACTTCCTCGTTGTTGTGATGGCTTGAATCAGATTCCTCACATTTTTATTGTACCCAGTCTCTCTCATTCTCCATTTCCAACGCACTCGTGAATTTGATACCGTCGGTCGTTTCCCCCTCTTTTCATTCTCGATCTCAGTCTCTAAATTCAATCTCTTAATCCCCTTCGACCACCAAAACCATACTAACACCATTACAGATGTAACCAAAAGAAATAACGTTTCACTTCTCCCTCTGCGGCTCTGCCAACAAGAATGTTCCTTCTTTCTATCCATCCAAGTTCACTTCCTGTATAAATAATTAGCCAATGTTGCGGATCAACCCTAGCCTCCGCCTCTCTCCCTCCCACTCCTATTCCTCATTTCGCACTTCTCCCAATCCCTCCTCCTCTTACAGGGTCTGTTGTATAGCCACAGACCCGCCTGTCCGTCCCACTCCTCCTCGCTGGTTCCATGTTCCGGGAGCTATCGATGTATCTAATGGCTTCGGTCTCCATCTCGTCCAAGACTCGAACGTAAGTGGCATCGGTGGTTCGAGGAGAAGCTCTGCTGCTAACACTACTAGGGTCAATGCAAGAGAAAAGAGATGGTCATGCGACAGGGAGAGCTACCTGGCCGATGATGGCGATGCCCTCCCCCTTCCCATGACTTATCCAGATTCTTCCCCGGTACTCCCGGAGGAGATCGATCGTCGCCTTCAGTGCAACCCCCGAGTTGAGGTGATTGTTTACTTTTTAATTAATGACATTGATTTAGAAGCAAACAAAAAAGATCATTTTGCATACTTCTAGTAATTTTAATTAATGTCTCATCTTTGAATTTTAGAACTGTAAACAAGTGGTGTATGAATGGACTGGGAAGTGCAGACGTTGCCAAGGTTCTGGTTTCGTCAGTTATTATAATAAAAGAGGAAAGGAGATTATCTGCAAATGCATCCCTTGCCTTGGAATCGGTACTCTTTTTCTCTACTTCTCTTGTTCTTTTGTCGTTTTTTTTTTCTTATTCTTACAGAACAAATTCTGTTTCTTGTGCTTCAATGTCTTGTTGGTTAAGAAAAAAAATTGATCCAGTATGGTGAAAAGAAATAAGATAAAGGCCGCTCAACAAAAGTAATGTATTTCGAGGTTTTATCCATCTTTGGTTTATTCGACAACTTTATGGAAGGGATGGTCCAGACTGTGGAATCTACCCTCTGCAAAACATAAGACTTGATGTTTATGGTTCAAGAAACTTGCTTTGAAGCATCTAACTGTAAATAGCTTCGTTCTTTTCTTACTTCTTGTCCGTTATTTATTTGATTGCTAGTCTATGTAACTTTTTTATTCCTACATTACATTGGCAGATAATTTTACAGCAATCTAACAAGCAGGGGATTGATACCTGTTTTGTGTGGCACTTGTTTACCTTTTTGTTTGGTAAATTACGGACTTCCACCTTGTACCTTGGGGTAGTGACACTTAGCCCCTCAAWTTTTCATTTTTAATGGGCTTGATGTGAAAGATAAAATTATAAAATTGCTCATTCTAAGTTCTATATTCTCTCGTATATTTTTCTGTCTTTCTGTATTTTCCTTTTTTTCTTTGTTATATTTTCTGCACAATTTCCTACTTTTCCTTTATTTTCTTCTTTTTCTATGTTGTGTTTTATCAATTTTCCACAAAATGGTCTCATAAAATGATATGAAGGCAGTTTGGGGTTTTAGAAATGTTTAAACATGCACATGACAGTCACATGAGAATCTTTATGAAGTTAACCAACGAATACTAACAGTGGAGGCAAAGTGCTGCAATCTAAAAGTTCATGGTGGGTCTTGTTGCAAATGAAAGTTCAGGGGGTTAAGTGTCACTACCCCAAAGTACAAGGTGGCAGTCTGTAATTTACCCTTTTTTGTTCCAGTGTGAGTTGCTCCTCCAGAGATGACAATTATTTTTTATTTGCTTTCAATGGTGGCCATTCAAGCTTGGGCCAAAGGGTTTGCGCCTTCTGTAGTGGTATGATGCATGCTATTACATGGGGTGTTTGGGAGGATGAAAGAAAATGATTTTGAAGGGAAAGCATACTCTTGTATATGCTTAGGAGAGGACACGAGTCTTCCTTGGGTCTTGCCAAGGAGTGAGGGCACCATTCATTCCGTTGAAAATGCTACCATTCTTTGTGAAAGATAAAATTAGTTTTCAGACGAAGCAAGTTAAAAGTTGTTAAGTTGGGATTGGTAGTGCCATTGCACAAGTAGGGGCAGAATGGACCATGGATGTAGGAGCCGGCACACAAAGATATAAACCATAACCCATTAATTTAATCCATGTAATCTCTTGTGCTGACTTCTGTTTCTTGACTCGAGTGCTCTAAAAGTCTAGTCCATAGAATGTGATAGTTTGGATGGTTAAGACCATTGGATCTGCTTTATTTTACTGTTAAGACCATAGATGCAATAACTGCAAGCCTTTGGGTGCAATGCTTAAGCTTCGTAGATATACCAATTTTTAAGAAAATAAAGGATTTGAGAATATTAGGACTTTTAGAGAAAACCGTCACATTCTTTACAAGTTACACGCCATTTAATAACTATAAGAAGCTCTATATTTTAGTATATGAAAATGGCTTTAAAAAGGTTAAAGCATTAGAAACATGCACATATAAACTTTTAAATTTCAGTGAGCAGATATTTATTTTCTATGATATAACCCCCAGCTGTAATCTTTTAATTGTGGTTTAATATTCATTGCAATTAAAGTTGTACTGAATTCCCTTCATCTGTGCAGGATATGTTCACAAAGTTACAACCCGCAAGGACATTGAAGTGATGGAGGATTTAGATAATGGGAAAGCTCCCTGAAACAGATATACACAAATCTTTTTTTTTTTAAGTTCTTAATTTTCCTTAAATTTTTAATTTCATTCTTTTTGACGAGCTCCCCATCTGTCCTAATTATGTAATAATGTAATACAACTATTGATGTTATTCTTTTGCTACTTCTGGCCTATTAGTTTATAACTCACTTTGCTATGGATTGCGAAGGATAATTCCATCAGGATGTTGGAACTTTGAAGCAGAATAAAAAAGAGTAGAACATCACTTTACACTGAATGCATATTCTTTTCCTTTGATTCTAGTCTATTTATGCTCTTCTCTCTCTTTATCTTGCTTCCATTCATAACTTTTAAAAATTTCCAACCCTTAATTGCAAGTAAGTGCTTTAGGAAAACCACAGAACTCAATTTTGGCTTAACTTCTTGACATAGAAGAGAATAATCCCTTGCCTTCTTTTGATTTCTACCCATAGCAGGCAGTTGACGCTTATATTTGGAGTCAATGTAGAAGGGAGGAGTTCATTCTTATCGGGAATTGTGCTGTCATCAGGCACAAGAAGCTTTGAGAATGTTCCAACCCAAAATAAGTTTCCTCAATTTCCTATTCAGGCTTCCTCAAAGGTTTTTACCGAAACCAACTCAGCAGTTTTCCTTCAAAGACAGACAATACTCTGGGCTGTCGCAGGCATTCCAGCCAAATGTGGATGAGATGAGGCGGGTATTTGATGAATTTGATGCGGACAAAGACGGGAAGATCTCTAAGAAGGATTATTCTGCTTTACTGAGGAAGTTAAGGCAGCAGGATGTTGAGTGTGATGAAGTGCATAGGATATTTCATGTTATTGACTTGGACCGAGATGGGTTCATTGATTTTGATGAGTTCATGGACGCTCACAAGAAGGGAGGAGGGGTTAAAGTGATTGACATAAGAAAAGCGTTTTGGTTTTTTGATTTGGATGGGGATGGGAAAATAAGCCCGGAGGAGGTGTTGGAGGTGCTGAATAGGCTTGGGGAGAGTTGCAGCCTGGACTTGGAGGATTGTAAACGGATGGTTCGAGGGGTGGATACTGATGGGGATGGCTTTGTGGATATGGAAGAGTTCATGAACATGATGACACTGTCCATGAAGCCCAATTAGAAGTTTCTGCTGTGCAGCTCTACCTTGGCCCAAAATCTCATTTGGCAAATTGGTCCTTATGTCTCCTATGTGTAAAACTATGTTGTTCCTATTTATATTTGATATTTTGGCCAAAAGATATGTTTATTATGTGCCTCTCTCTCTCTCTCTCTCTCTGGGGAAGGAAATTTTTTATAACCACCCAGTTGCTATGGCGCTTGGATAACCAAAACTATAATAGGCAAGATATATGTATGATCTACCATCAAAAGTCTTAATTTTGGACTGAGTGAAATTTAATTTACATGTCAAAGGAATGGGGAGTTTTTTGAATCATCATGGTTTGTGGATGACTGGATTCACATCTTCCACTTGCCGGGCTGCTAGTGCTGGGCTAGCCCTGTTTCGCTTGTTCTTTCCAGTCATCCTGGGCCAGGCCCATCCCTGACACTGATTTGGGAATTAAAAGTCCCCACTCAGTGAATTCTACCAAATTGAGCTTTCTCTATCTTCTTTGGAGGAAGCTCTTGGAATGGTGAATTTGTAGTTCCCTGACCGGAAGCCAAGAAGCGATTTGGCTCATGCTGAAATCGACCAAAACCGTGGTATTGATTGTGGTATCCAGTTCATATATTGGGTCTGCAATGTCCTCCAGAACAGCCCATTCTTGTAATGATTCAGAACTCCTATTATTGAGTGGAGCAGATGTATGTAGAGGTCGGATCTGACTGTGATTCACTTGCTAGGAGCTCTCACTCTCAACCATATCTTCTGCTTGAGACTGGGGCTTGATGTTAGGTAGGCTCCGCTGACAAAAGATGGGAGTTTCATATAGTTCAATGTTGATGCAGGTACACAATTATTATCTCTATGGGATCTCCTCTTTTCAGTTTTCACCGTAATCCACCCTACATGGTTCTTTGGCCTTTACAACAAAACTCTCCAAGAGAGAGAGAGACCTTACTGGGAGGGCTGAGAATATATGAAGATTAAGATTTTTGTACCGTATACTTTTGTTTATCCTTTAAGCTTTGTTTGTTTCAATGTACATTGGGTACAATGAAAACCTACTTCTGTTTCTATGTATAGAGAAAAACGAAGCTTTGTATGTTTGCATTAAGGCTCCTCCTGTCTCAAGGAATCAACTTGCTTACATTGAAAAATGATTCTAAATACCGAAGCAAGAAAACCAACTTAATGCAAATATACATCTGCAACATGTATAGAGACACAAGTTTGCAGCATTTGTATCGAAGATCTTCCTCTTCATCTCACCATGCCTGCTCCCACAACAGGAGCTACTGTAATTCCACGTCTCTGTCTATCCATGTTTGCTTGCCAACCTTCATATTCAAATATAAATTTCTTAGTGGTGTGAATGAGGATAAAAAAAAAAAAAAAATCTAAACATAATTAAAGTGAAACCGAAAATACTTGTAATCAATCAATAGGTATCATAAAAGTAGTAACCTAACAAATTCACTGGGGTTTTGATATTGGTTAAAATTCCTTCCGATATGGTGTCTTTTTAGCAGCATAAATTTTTTCATTAATAATTGTCAATTAATTATTTATGATTTTACTGATTTTAAATAACCAACTGCCACATCAGCAATACATACATATTGTTTTGGCTGATGTGACAATTGTTTTTATTTAAAAAACCACAAAATCATAGTTATTGGCGAATAATAGCTCTTAACTAGAATAGTAATAGCTGGAATAGTTGACTTCCTATTCAGCTTAATTAGACGCCATCTCACAATTGTTTAGAAACGATTGATTTCCATTATTTTTATTTGCATAATTAATTTATGATGACATGGATATGGCTGACATGGCAAACGATATGCAGTTTAATTAAGGCCTACTTTTAAGTCATAGGCTTGTTTATAGTTAAACATGATTTCATGAGGGTCTCATTGTAAAGGATAATGATATATGAAGTCCTCTCTCCCCTGATAGACCATTGAAGAGGGATTCTTAATTTACCTACCTTTCCTACTCTCAAAGGCTCCGGAGGAAAAAAAAAAAAAGAGAGGAAAGAAAGATCAGATAAGAGGATTAGTGGATCTGAAATTCCAATAACATACAATCCCTTCTGGGCTAGGAAATTCAGCATTTTTTGTTGGCAGAGCTGGTGATATCGACACAAGCTAAAAAACTATTTGAGATTGAAGTAAGGATATGGAAGAAGGGAGACCTACCTATTCCCATGTCAAATCCACGGTTCTTGAGCTCTCTGTATTCTTGACACAGTGCACAAGCCTCGCAACATAAGTGAACTAAGGAATCCACACAGGGAGCCTCTTCCAGGTCGTATTGGGCTCTCAGTTTCGAGCGATAGCAGCTCGAATACAAGCATGATAAACTGGGAATAGCTTGTAACATCCCATAGATCACACAGCTTGCCGAACAAGCTGGATACATGAAAAACCACGTTAACTGATCAATTGATTCAACATCCACAACGAGTAAATTTGTTAATCAAGCATGTTTTAAGTTTTAACAGACTTACGCAGGGAACCTCTGTTCACAATCTCTGCAATCTGTCCGAAGGTAACACAAGGGCAGCAACAAGTGACCAAACCTTCCAAGTTCCAACCAAAACAAATTTACAACACCCAACACAATGAATAGCCATGGTTAGGGCAGGACAGGAAAGAATCAAAAGTTAAAAGAGGCAACGTGTTCTTACAGATTGCGGGATCATCGCAACAGTGGCAAAGGCCGGTCGACCATGGTCCTGGGGCACCCGGAGCTTGAAGTGGAGGTGGAACTGGGACTGGGACTCCCTGTTTGGCATATGGATAAGAAGGGTACATTTGTTATGCGAATTTGATGAATATAACGCTTCAAAGAAATAAAGAAGAAGAGATGTCTTAATGTGTAGTAGTTTCAAGAAGGAGGGAAGCAATTTCCTGTAATTAATAAGATGGTCATTCTCTGTATGATTGCAGTACCAAGTTTTGTGAAGGGCCACGCTACAACATGGTCAATACTCAATACATTGGTTCTCGGTTATTTTGCATTTTTCTTTGGGGTAGGCGCGTGGGCCGTGGGCGTGGCTTGGAGGACAAGGACTATTAAATAACTTCACCGGGAATCAATGATGCGATTGCAAGTTTTGAGAATGACAGAATGTGACAGGCTGACAAGCTTCTCTTTCCTTTTAGGATATTATATAAAAACCTCCCCTTAAATATTTTCTGACAGTTATAAAAGCCTCATTTATAGTTTCATTTAGCAAAAAATCTCTTCTCTATTTCTTCGGCTCAATGATCAAAAAAATTCAATAAATACCTCCCTTCGAGTCACAAAATGTTAAAGAAATGATTTTTTCAAAATACTTATTTTACCCTTTTACCAATTAATATGCATTTTTTTATTAAAATAATCCTACCTCAACAACTCCATAATTTGTTTGAGCATTATTCATCTTCTTCTTTAGATGCACGACAGTAGAATGGCGGTGCACTCCACTTATCTCTTCACGACAAAAAGAGATTCATCAAAATTCAAAAAGGCCTCCCCTATTACCTTTTGAATGGCGTCGTTGATTCTCAAAGACCAAAATCTAGATAAATCATTTCTAGGTACATGTCCCCTTTTGATTGCATTGGCCTTTTGTCGAAAATCGTGATTGGAGAGAGATATGGAGAGAGGAATACAGAGCCAGGGAGATATCCTAGACTATGGGATTCTTTTTTTATTTTTTATTTTCTTTTCAAGGGTGAGGAAAAGAGGAGAAATCGGTCCAAGGGAATTCTATTTTTTGATGTTTGAAGTTTCAACAGCTAATTATATATAAAATAAAAGAGTTAAAAACGATGGCACCACCGAAAAAACTAAATTTGGTGAACCCAAATCGGCTCCTTCATTGAAATATCGTCCATTTTGGTTTCYAGGAGAAAATTGCAAGAGGAAGAAAAGCAATTTTCCTTCTATATTCTTTAATCTTAGGGGGCGTTCTTTTTTTGAATTTGAGGGGGGAAAATTGGTCAATGGGATTTTGGTTCCCATTGACCAAGAATCCCATGTTCATTTTTTAGATTATTGTGGGGATTAAGGAAAATTTATTTTCTTGGGTATCACTTACTCGGGTGGGTAAATAACTATCCCACCTAAAAGGAAAGTTGCTAACACYGACAAAAATGCCTATTTTAATAATAGATTTTTATGACTAAAATGACCATTACATTATTTACCTTAAAAATAAAAGAACATAGATAAATGCATTTACTCGAGTAAGTATTTTCTAGGAAAAATTTACCTAGGTAATTGCATTTACCTGGATAAATAACTTACCGGGGTCTCTCTAGGATGAGCTCTAAAGGGAAACATGAAAGAAAGAAAGAAAGAAAGAAAGAAACCCCTGATTGAAAAACCAAGACTCTGACTCTAATTTTTCAATAAATTTTAAATTTAAGGAAAAAAGAAACGACAAAACCTACCTAAAAACCTACCGACCCCACTTTCGCAGCCCACTGTCACCCAGTGGGTTTGATTTGAAGAAAAACAAATAAAGAAAACAAAAGRATTGGGTTTGGATAACCGCATGAATTAAATCCTTTTAACAGTTAACAACCAATCCAAGGACGTCTCACGTCTGTTTAAAGGGTAAAGCACCGTCCTGGTTTAAGTCTCCTGACAAATCCACCATCAGCCAAGACTAACCAAGAGCCATAAGAATTGGTGGCCCCACTTCTTCATCAATCAACACCTTTAAGTTAAATTGGTGATCAGCCATTCAGCCTCACCCACAACTCATGACTGAATCAAAGTAAACAATCAAAGCACCGGATTACCAGAATGAGCTTCTGGAATCGGAATAAGCAGAGTGCCTTGATCGAGAGGTTTATCTATGCAATCTTCTGAAGGGGGGAGTGCATCGCTATTCTACCCTTTGTGCATTGTAAGGAAGAAGATGAACAGTATTCTTGAGATAGAGTTATTTTAATAAAAATAGATATATTAATTTGTAAAAGAGTAAAATAAGTATTTTGAAAAAAAATAATCATCTCTTTAATGTTTTTCGTCTTAGTAAAAGTATTTATTGAATTTTTTGAAAATAGATGAGAGGTTTTGTATAGAAGAGGTTTTTTAGAATTCTTTTTCAAGGGAAAGTATTAATATTATTATTATTATTCCTATACTTCCAAGAGAACAGTCTGCGTATCAGGCTATCAGCACATGGTTTTGGCGTGGGATCGAGTTACGAAGCAGAGTTTCAGCATATCAAGGGAATTCGGTGGGCTTAGCTTAGTCAAATGCATGGGCTCTTTGATTATGTGAAATAGAGGCCCAAGGATCAGGACCCACCCAAATATTAAATTCCCCATTCCGCGAACAAGTTTTTTTACCCCTGACCCTGACTACACAAGTTTTCTAAAGAGAAATTAACATGGAGATGGTTGCATAAAAAGTGATCCACTTTTGCTATTTTTCTCGCATGTGACAACCTCACTTCATTGTCCACACTGAAGGAAATTGCTCTTTGTACTATGAATTGGGATTTGTTCCTCACAAGGACCTCACTGCCACTTTCCATGAATAATAAGTATAAATACCTTTTCTATGTGTGGTCAGGACATGCTGTGAAGYCGGTATCCGGCCTCTTTATATATAGTTGAATGTTCATAGATGAAAGCATGTTTTTGGCAACATTACAATTGTGTCAGCTCTTTAAGACTTAAGAGTTAATGACTGAAAGTCATCTGCCCTTGTGGCTCTCAAACAACAAACAAAAAGGATCCAAAATTATATCTAGAATCACACTGTCTCAACCTTCATTAATAATAGCACTTGAACTTGGATGTTTGGGTGCGACATATAGACATGTAAATCATTTGTAAAACATGTACAACTAAAAGATACAAGTTGCGCAGAGATGTCTTCATCTTGTCATGCCTTCTCCCACACTTGGAGGTACTGTCATTCCTCGGTTTTGTCTACCCATATTTGCCTCCCAACCTTCAAATTCAAACGTAAGTTAACAAACATTAGTKAATGCTTTCAATCATAATTAATTAATTTTCATGATTATTTTTTGCCATTTAATATTATAGGTTGCATTTGGATAAACTTAAGGGTTTATGCTTTTAAAGCCCAAAAGTATAAAGCCCCAATTTTATGCWTTGTGGGTGCTCAAAAGTGTTTTAGCTTTAGATTATTATGTGTTTTAAAGCAACACTTACCAAATGCTCAAACACTTTTCGGCTCATTTTTGTTTCCTACAGCCCACAGCCCAAAGCTCAAAGCAGAAGCATATCCAATACCAATAGTACTGCGTTCTATTACTACTATGAAGAAAAAGCATTGTCTTCAATTTCTACACTTATTGCTATTATAATATTTTTAAATGGCACATGACGAATAAATTTAATTTCAGTTAAATTTGCAGTTTTTTTTCCTCATTTCAGTAAAAATACTTGCGGAAATAAATAAATAAAAATATGCATAGAATTTATTTATGGATTTTGTAAAGTAATTGTAAAAGAAAAAAGTGAGACGAAATTAGGAGTTTGATTTATAATATAATGCATCACAATAAATACAATTAAATAATATATAATACATGAATGTAAATGTAATAACTTTTTTTTTTTTGGAATAGTGCCTAAAAAATTTTAGCAAAAAAAATCGGACTTCCAAAGATTTGAATCCTTCGTTTTTTTTTTTTGTTTTTTTTCTGGAAGCCTTTGAATCCTGCCCAACAAAATGATAAAATTATTCACAATTAAGAACCTTGGAATCAACGGTAAATAGATTCAATAGCCTGGTTCCAGCCTTCCCAAGTCTAAACGAAGAATAAAAAAAAAAAGACACAAAGAGCACATGAAAACAATACAGAAGAAAAGGAAAATGACCAGAAAACCTTTCTTAAAAGGGTGAGAAGGGGTCAGTCAATGGGGGCACATGGAAGCAAGGATGAGCTTATTCGAAATTCCAAATTGAGGATAGCCCGTCCCGTTTGTAAAGCAACATACATTTCTAATTTATTTACCCTTCTCTTCTAGTGGATCGGTCAATAAGATTTCATAGAACCTAATGACCTGGATCATCAACCTAAGCCCAGCCCAAATTCATGAATTTTTGCCTGGGCCAACTTGGCTGAAACGGGTTAGTTGTTGGGGGCCAATAGCCTTTCTTATTGAGAGAGTTTTGGGGTTGAAGCAGGGCAGTTCATCAATTCACTGGCATGTTTTTATTTTTATTCAAAATAAATCAATGGGCAATTTTTAATTTGCCCACTCTCGTGAAAAAGTGTCCAACCCAAAAACTCTCTCAACAGGAAAGGCTGTTGGCCCCCAACCCCAACAGCCAAAGTTTTTCCGGCTGAAATTTGGTTTAATCTTGTTTAATGTTTTCTTTCCTATTTGGTAATACACCGGACTCGGATAACCCCTCCCCCCCCTCTCCAAAAAAAAAGGGTGGTAGAGGGTAGGGATTTTAATGCCTCTCTCTACCGGAATGAATCAGCTAAACACACCAACTAAGCCACCCTTCAGTTGATATTTAATGGGTTGTTGGTAGATCTGACAATCGGGGTGAGTGGGTCGGGTTCAGGTTGGGTCAAGGTATTTTGGGTTGATTTCGGGTCGGGTTGAATTTCAGGTTGGGTTGTCAAATGCTAGACCCTAACCCTAAATGTTCGGGTTAGGGTTGACCCATGGGTGAATTTGGGTCATCCCAAAAAATAATAAAAAATTAAAAAAATAAAGAAAAATTACATGAAAAATGTCAAAATTAAAAGAATTAACCTTAAAATTTCAAATATAAAATAAAATTTTGAACATTTAGCAATTTAAAGAGTAAACAATAAAAAGTAAAGACTAAATAGAAAAAATTAAAGAGTAAAAACTTCTAACAATGCATAAATAATCTCAATTAGACTTGACAATCAGGTCAGCGGGTTGACCCATGACCCAACCCAACCCAATTTTTGGGTTAGGTCGGATCATTTTTCACACTCGAATTGCTAAATATGAGACCCTAATCCTATTTTATCGGGTTGGGTTGGGTCAGGTTTGCGGATTGAGTCAACTTTTTGCCAGGTCTAGTTGTTAGGTCCTATTGGGCTGTGATTGGTTGATAGAAAATAGGAGAAAAACAGAAAGTTGAGGAAAGTTTTTTGACTGACTTTGTGAAATTCCTTTGAGAATTTCCCCTCAATTTTGTATTTCTCTTATTTTCCATCAAACCAAACGAGACTTAAGGTATGAACAACTGAACAAGGGGGTGGTGTCAGCAGTCAGCACTTACCAATTCCCATGTCATATCCACGCATCTTAAGCTCTCTGTATTCTTGACACAGTGCACAAGTCTCGCAGCAGAAGTGAACTAAGCAATCCACACAAGGGGCCTCTTCCAGATCGTATTGTCCCCTCAATTTGGAGCGGTAGAAGCAGGAATAGAAGCAAGCGAAGCCCGTGAAACCCAGTAACCCATAAATAGCGCCTCTACTGGCACAAGCTGCACACAAAGTCCACCCATCAAACTTCAAACCTAGCCTCAATCAATTCAGTGTTCATTATGAGCAGAGCATATATGTGGGTAGATTGATATTCTGTAACAGAGACTTACATGTTTGGCCCCTATTCACAATCTCTGCAATCTGTCCAAACGTAATGCAAGGGCAAAAGCAAGTGATCACACCTTCAATTACAAACAGTAGAAGAATGAATGGATTAATTAGATAATAGTACTAGAGAGATCAGATCAGCACTGAAAATCTTGACATGACTTAGAGGCTTGGTGTTCTTACAATTTGCCGGATCGTCGCAGCAGTGGCAAAGACCGGTTGACCAGGGCATTCCGACCGCCGGAGCTTTAAAAGGCGTGTTCCTTGCGATATATCCGGCGGCATATGCTTGTGTAGGAGGAGTATGTGGAACGCCTGAAGCTGGAACTGGACCTCCATGTGCCTCCGGCGTATATGCCCCTTGGTTGTGTGGAGCTGAAGGATACATTTGCTGAGACAAGGCCGCTAACTAATTACAACCTCTGGTGGAACCTTTCTAGCTCTGTAATGAAATGAAGCAAACAACTCTTATTAATATAGCGGAAGAAATGGTTGGATTTCGTGGAAACTGTTAACTGGTCAATGAGAGAAGTTTCTATATGATTAAGGTACAAGTTCTGTGTATATTTTATATGCTCGGTTGCAAGGGTATTCTTGGGGTATTATTTTGTAGCCAAGTTGAAATTTCAAACATATAATTTATTGGCTTCTGTGCAACTTCTTTCAATTTTTCTTATACAAGTTGGGAGCAATGACATGACCCAATTGTCCCACCACAGGAGGGACCAATTAATTAGTTAAGTTGCTTATGGGAGCCTCATTCCGCTGTGTACCAATGTACAACTAAGTGAACTAACTATTCATTGACCCCAATGGAAGTATACATAAGAACCCAAGAGCTCCGAGAATTAATTGCAAAATAATAATAATAATAATAATAATAAGAGATCCAAGAATTACTTAAAGATCAGATCCACAGGTTATTTCTTCTTTCTTTATTACTTCTTTTGTGAATAGATGGTGTTTTCTTTTGGCTGTGTTTGGTTTGACAGAGAATAAGAGATCCACAAAAAGCAGAAAGTTAACGGAAAGTTCTTAAGTTCAGTTTGGTGTAAATGTATGGAAGTGTAAATAGGGAGTGTATGTTCTGATTTAGTTTTGCTTCAGGTTTGGCTGTTCTATTTGCTTGTGAGAAGTAAATCTATGCTATATACTTAAAAGGCAGTTGTTCATGTTGGTTATTTCACATTGTTTATCATCTCCCTTATAAATTTGTGGTTTTTTAATTATAAAATAAAAAATCAAACATAGGGCCATTTAAATTCATCCGCAATTGATTCAGATTTCCAAAAAAAAAAAAACAATTCAGTTTTCTTTTTATTAAAAAATTAAATGAAAATACGCAACCAAACATGGGTCCAGCCCTTGCATAGCATGGGTCTCTTCTGGTATGAAGTAAGTGATAGAGATAGGAGGATGGTTATTTGTTTAGAGTAAGGTAGGAAGTATCTTAACAAATGAGAGATAGGAAGTAAGATAGTATGGTCCCCATTTTATATGAGAAAGAATTAAAGTAGGAAAAAGGGAGAAGCTTTGGCCATTGAGATTCTTTCGCATAGCACATCAACCCACTCAACAGCCAAAGTTTTTGCAGAGGAAGGTGGTGCAAATTTTTTACCAAAGAATGTAAATTATATAATTTACAAACAAATGGGTGTAAAAGTAAATTAGCTCAGATTTGCATTACAATCAGATCAAGCCTACARATTTTCACAAAATTAAAGACAGCCAGCCTAAAAAAGCTAAATTTTTTATGACATCATTGTTACCATCGTCATCATCAATGACTTATTCCAATTGTATGAAACCTACGGAGAAAAGTATTAACAGATCCATTGCAGATTTCTGAATTCCATTATAGACTTATAAATATTCAAAATGTTAAATATACCAACACCCACTCATGAATTGATATCAATTCCGATTTGACACCTAGTACTTTAAACCTAAAAACCTAAGCTAAACCATCATTCTCCCCTATATGATTCCTGTTTCGCCAATCCCTTCTATTTAAAGTCATATCACCAATCATTTATATTATTACTACTTTAATCCATATCTTTTTGATCGACCCCCAACTGTTCTATGCCCTTTCCAGAAATCTTTGATATTAGTTAAAAAAAAACCCAGGGTCGTGGAGAAATTAACAGTGGAAAGACAAGATGTTGTGTCATCCTCAAGCAATAAGAAATATTAAATAAATGGAGCTTCATCTCCTAATTGCATTTATTATTTATGTCGTCTTTTGAACCAGACGCATAACTACGGATCTTTGGATAACCATGAAGACAATTTCCCTCTTTTGCTCGTTCGGTCACAGGATAAAACATTTTGTTTTTAAAACTGTATTTGATTGCAATACAATTTTATTTACACTGGTAAAAATGCATGAGAGTACAAATAGAAAATAAATGCAAATTAATATTGGAAAAACAATTATTTATTTCATTTATACTGCAATTAAACAAAATAAATTAAAATTTAAAACAAAAATAAGTTAAAATAAATTTACATTCAAATCATTTACACTGTCATAATCTTGCATCAATATAAACTTATTTGAATTACAACTAAACACAGCCTAACTTTCATTGATTGCTGACGATTGAAACTTAATTAGACGAAGTTGGAATTCAAATTGCCTGCCTGGAAGTAGACAACTTTAGGCTTCCACTAAGCACCCAGGTGGAAGGTTGAATACGGATGGCGCTTTTAGAAGCAACACATCAAGAGGTGGAGTAGAGGAGGGGAGTGGTGATTAGAGACTGTAATGGGAACTTTAGCACTAACCACTCCGCATCTACTACTTACAAACTGTTCCACACTACATTAATGTCATATATTAGAAATATTCTCAATGTGCAACTCTAATGTCCCATGGGTAGGGATTAAAAAAGAAAGTTCAAGGTTAATTATTTATAATAATAGTTTTATGCCATGAAACAATTAATTTAATTTTTAGGCCCTATTTGCCTTATTTACCCATGTAAATAAGGTAATGACAATTTTAATCATTAAAAATCAATTATTAAAAAAGGTATTTTTGTCTCATTCAAGTGTTAGCAATTTTTCTCTAAGTGGTTATTTAYCCACTTAGGAGATGGATATCACTTGCCCGAATACGTGATATTCAAGAAAATAAAATTACTTTGGTCAAAATCCCATTGACYAACTTTTCCCTCATCTCAAAATCTAGAAATATAATCCCCCTTAGGGTAAAATATAAAAACCTCCTCTTAGATTTCTAACAATCATAAAAATCTCCCCTCTAGTTTTACTTTAACAAATTGTAAGAAACCTTAGAAGAGGTTTTTATATGGGTTTGTAGTAGATAAGGGCAACTTTTTACCCCTAATATCAATAAAAAATAATACTTTTATATAATAACTAAAATGAAATAGCTTTTTTGGAAAAATATCAAAAAAGGGCCGTGGACTCGGTGATAAATCGTCGGGTTTTTCTCACGTGCACAACCTAAAAAAATGACAGGTGGCATTTCCGGCAGAATTCCAAAAAACGACAACTCTATTTATACAATAGCTTCCGCAGGTCATCTTCACCATCACTACCATTATCTTCGTTACCTTGTAGTACTTGCAGCGGCAATTCATCATCCTTGTCAATCTTTCTGAATCTGCTTCCGATACTGAACCTGGAAGACCCTTGATTGTCTTGTTCTCTGCAGACAAAGAGTTCGACAGTGGAATCCTCCCCTAGGTCCGAAGAATTGCCCAAGTATCTTGAACTATTAGAGTACGTAAAAGTGGAGTGATTTTCTTAATGGATCTTCCATGTGGAAATTGATAATTTTAACTTTAATGTCCATTTAGATAAATTTAATGAAAAGAGAATAAAAAATATCATTTTTAYCTTTAATAAGACACAAACAACCACTCTATTTGGAATAAATAATCATGGGCCCATCCCCTTTAACACCTTCCACTCAGTAAAAAAAAAGTGATCATATTACTATTTTCATATGTCAAAACATACACTTATTACTAAATTAATAAAATAAATAGGTTATAAATTATAGAGGGTGTTTTAGTAAAATGAAAACCAAAAGATATGTTTAAATAAATCCGTGAAACTATGGACGTTCTAATAAATGACCCTATTCTCTAATATAACGAATTATGGATCGATCCGAACCGGAATTTAATTAGTTCGTCAAATCATTGTTTTGACCGTCTAAGTCAACAATGGATCGAATACACTGACGATTAAAGCCTTTTTAGAAAATCCAATTATGTAGTCTAAAGTCCAAACGCCAACAATATTAATCTCTACCCCACGAAGGGGCAATTGTGGGCCGTTAGAGCACTATCTCTGTGGGTCCAATAGAAGCTTCGTCTCTTGTGTATTGCCAATTTGCCATAGACCATCCTATCAAACATCAATGTCTTGCCCTGGAATAAAGAAAAGAAAAATAGAAGTTCGGTTTTTGAAGTTTCTATTTTAATCCTTGTGAGTTGTGGCCGAGAGATTGTTTACGACAATAGGACCAAAGAAGAAGAAGAAAAAACAAAAGAAAAGAAATTTCGTTCCAGCACGGTATGTCCGCATGCTCATGTGTGAGGGAAATACTGAAATAGGACTACTAGCTAGAAACTGGTACAGGTTATAATGGGTTTACGAGCATCTACCTTTACAATATTTTTGTTTTTTGGTAAGATCTACCCTTATCAATTGGGTGAATTGGGATTAGTATATACCAGAAGAAACCAAGTTGACTGAGGGGTCAAAAAAAGTCGCATCCCTGTTTGGATTGGTAAATGGGAAACAAAATATGAATTTATGTTTGCACAATAAAACATCATTCCAGGCCTTAATTTAATTGAGAGATCAAAGCCATCAGCAGCTATTTGTCTATTTTCGTCTGGAAAGCTCTCTGATAACTAGTAGAATGGAAAACCAACTGTTTGATGATGCGTACGAGACCAATTCAGATTTTATATGCCAATGATCCCCCACTCCACATGGCCCCGTTCAAACAGCAGCTGGAGGAGTTTGTAGATAGAAGATGGGTGGATGACTGAACAGATAAATAGAGATATTGTGAGACGACTTAATTGGTCCCGTCAAATATATTGCTGACCGCTTCTCTTGTTTGATTGGTCGTCGATCATTATCCAGACTCTGAATTGATATATGTTATTGCTGAAGTGGGACAAAATATGCATTGATTAGCTTGCTTTGTTTGATCACTGATTATTGTGTTATTGTTTGTCTTTTTCTCTATGGCAACTTACACTATAATCCAGACAAAAAGCCAAAGTGGATGATCCCATCCACTCTTCCTATTAGATGCTGGCCTTATTCAATTTTCCAAGGAGAACCTTGTCTTATTTTTATAGCTGGATCATTCTCATATAAATTTATTTTATTACGACTAGTTCACAGTCCACACGGAACACAATTATTATGCCGATATCTATGGACTATGGGTGTGAATCCTTTACAAATATGG